GAAAAAGAGTTCTTTTTACTCCCAGTCTGGAGTTAAAATTACTCCGAAATGGGGTTACTTGTACTCCTTACATGGGTTGTTTTTACTCTTTTTGGAGTTAATTTAACTCTGAAAGTGGAGTAAAAATTTTGGGTACAGGATAACTCCTTTTTTGGGGTTATTTTAACTCCTCAATATCTGGGGTCACTTTTACTCCTGAAAAAGAGTTCTTTAAACTCCTTTTTGGAGTTAAAGTAACTCCACCAAAAATAACTCCACTGTAAGGAGTTAAATTAGCCCCACTAGAGGAGTTATTATAAGTCCCTGAAAATTACGGTGTATCTTACTTTCCAGCCTTCCATTTTCAATTTCTCCCACCACAGTCTCTGACCCCCTTTCGGGAGTATCAAGGTCTACTTACAGGATATCTGTAAAATTCTACGACACACTTGGAATAAGACACGAAACTGAAATCAAAAACTGCAAAGTTATCCAAATTTGTTTTCTCTCCCAAATGTTGTGACCAGTTTGGGGAATGGGAAGGCTCCTTGAATGCTGGTTAGAGTCACAAGAGATGTTTTTTTCTTCAACAGGCAAAGTTTAATTTAGAAGAATACAAAATGATTTCATAATGATTTTGAAAATCATCAAAAAAAGGTAGTTCTCGAGTGATCAAATTGCGTTCTGTGCATTCCATTCATTCTTAGTGGAAGTGCAAAAGAATAGAGAAGAGAAGTTGTTACGTCACGTTGCCATGGTAGCAAAATTTCTGGATGACAACCAATCGAAAGCATGAATTCACCGCTGTTTCAAACCTTATCCATTCGATCTTATTCAATTTCATTTAATTTGTCAAATGTTGGCGAAATTTTCCGGGTTTGAATTCGAAACGACGGTATCTAAGTTTTGAAAAAGAAAAAGAAATTTTTTTGCTTTGTTCACCTATTTTACAAACCGGGCGCATGAGTCTAGGAAGTTTCATGTAGCAGGTCGTGCAACGACGACTAAGAAATGTAAAAAAAAAAATTAAAGTGATCCACGAGCAAAGATATTATTTTGCTAATCTAAACCTATTGTTTTTTTCTTCCCCTTCTCATTGCTGTAGCCGTCGTTGTTACTTAAGCTACCTATCGTTGTGATCCAAAAATTTTTGCCACCATGGTAACGTGACGTCACACTCCTCCTCTCTTCGCTGGCTACATACATGCGACGCATGCGCAATTTCAGCCTGGAGATTACGATTGCGGGCTACTCTTGTCGCCCGCAATAATTCAAGTATAATAAAAGGATTAAAAACCTCAACTGGCAATTAGTAAGCAATTGGTTGGCTATTTACAAGAGTGTCGGAGGATTTGAACTACCGGGACAACCGAGAACAAATCCAGCAAGTGGCCAGAGCCACGCTCCCATGTGTGTTTCTCTAACCTGCTCGAGTAGATCTTTCAGTTTTTTGTTACCCATTTGTCGAAGTTTTTCAGGTGATATAACTCCACTTGTAAAGAAAGACAACAGTTTGGTATAAGACTCAGTGGCGTTTATGACGTCACCATTTGGCAATTTCCCACTCGTTGCACGGGCACGATCTGGGAAGCCGTTAATGTAAACAGACTTCAGCGGTAATTTTGCCATCCCGTCTGCTTCTTCATAACAGTACTTCAGATGTTCTGTTTCAAGGTATCTGTAACGAGACACAGACGGAGAAGTTATTACTGCATTAAATAACTCGGGTTATGAGCGTGGTGAGCGTTGTTCATTTTGTACATTTAGAGCCTGCTGGTTAAATGATGGCCGTTTCCTGGTTGTTAGAATAAATAACCAAGCTTACTAAGAATTACCAGAAAATACCCTGGTTAATCAGGCTTTTGCACATTCGTTACACAAGCCTGGTAAGCCTGGTTTGTCGAACCAAGCTTGTGCCTTAGTTTAATAAGGCTTTTGGTGCACGGGTGTGTTAGTCGTTGAAAAATTACAGTTGTCAGTTTTGGGAATTTTCGCAAGCACTGAAGTAGAAACCAAGACAAAGTAGATACTAGGCAACAATTTGAGTTGAAACGGAATTCTTTACCCACACCCGATGCTGGAATTTTAGCCATGCCAGACGATTTTAGTGAAAATGTGAAGCATCGGGGTATTTGCTTCGGCATGATTACTAAGAAACATAGAGGATCGAGATCGTTATTATTGGCCTGGAAAACCACATGATTTCGTCCGCGCAAGATACGAGAGGCCATTCATACTCGGCCGCGATCAGGGCTACCATCTACCCCCGATTTATAGGACCATTTTCCGCTCCATGTGAGGGAATCCAATACAGTCTTGGATTCTGGATTCCAAACCGTGGATTCCGGATTACAGGTACTAGATTAAAGTCTTTCTGGATTCTGAGTTCTACCCTTAGTGGGATTCTAGATTCCTTGAGCTGTACTCGGGATTTCCAAAGCCCAGGATCATGGCTTCCCTTACATGGCGCGACATTTTGCCGCCTCACCAAAACGAGGCTGCGAATAACAACAAATATCTAAGATGAAGGGATCCCGATGGGCCCGATAGCCCTGCGTAACTTTCAAGAAATTTTCGGTGTTGAAGAAATTTTTTCTGTTATACAGTCAAACCCCAGCTTCCTACTCAGGCGCTTCGTTTTTCGCATGGTAGAGTCGAGCGCGAAACGTGATTCACTGGTGATGAACCGCAAGGGACCATGGGAAGGGTACAGTTGTCTCCTTCCCGCCTTTTCTTGCGCGCACATTTTCATCGAGAGAGAGAGAGAGAGAGACGTCTGGGTACGAGGCAGGTCGTATCAAGCGGATTGAAATTAGAGAAAATGTCCCCAGGGACAAAGCAAACTGTCCTAATTAAGCGAGTGTACGTTAAGCAGGGTTTCACTGTACAGTGTCCCAACAGCGGACTCTTTTTTCCGTCAAGATCAGTTTTTTTTTTGATAATCGTAATGTCTGATTATCAAAGCGCTCACGAACCTCAAAAGTCTGTGCAGTGGTTCCCCCAGATAAAGCAATAAAAATCTTTTGAGGGAGGTGCGTACGCTCTCTTGTCGTCTCTCGTACCACGTGCTGTTCATGTCCTGGGTAATTTTGGCAGTGAAGCTGTCAGCAAGAATTGATATGGCTACCCCCTCGTTGAGAATACCTAAGAATAAAGAAAGGATATCATCATTTATGAAAAAACGGATTACAATTTCGATTCCATTGTCTATGACGAACCCCAAAATGCTACCGTACTATTTAATAGCCACGCTGCTATAAAAAGCGTTATTTTGCCAAGTCTGCTCAAGTCTCTCTTTTTTTTATTTTAAATATCAATCAAAATTATACTTCGCGAAATATTGAGAAACCCATCAAATCATGACAGTTCAAGCAGATTTCATCTACTGACTAAAAGGACGTTAGTAGAACCACCTTAACTGTACGGAGGATTATAGATATATCACAACAGGAGAGTGTAATGCTCAGTAATATAACGTTCATTTGAATGGTTAGGCTTAAGTACGTCAACGACAAACTCCAAAGTTAAAACTACCTTGTACTGCGTCAGCACCACAGGAAAGTACTGCTCGGTAGCTTTCTGCTTTGCTGAGCTACTACTAGGCTATATGTTATAGCTCACCAGTAGTGATAAGCGCCGACTTTTGGCAGAAAAAAAGGATTAAAGTCTAGCTTTAATTAGCTAAAGTTGTTTTGTCTCGATATTTTTGACCAACTAGTTGGATTTTACTAATTAAAAACAATTATTATTCATTCAAAATATTTCCCCAATTCTGACACGCATAATTCACCATAACCAGTTACTGATGACCAAATTTGGAAGAATTTTGTGTTTAACGAGGAAATTACGTCAAAAATGCAGCCTTCTACAAGTTAATGCACCGTTAACCGACAAGACCTGGGGACGAGGTTGAGTTGTTTTTGTTGTGAAAACACTTCACTCGTTTCAAGAGTAAAAACTACGCTGGAACTAGGCGAACTAATGGCTAAAAACATAGCAAAAACAGCAAGAAGACAACTCGGAGGGCGACATCTGCTATTTGGAGAATATTTGCGGAGCTGGACAAACCTACACGTACACTATCGAAGATAAACTTAACAGGTAAGCATGTTTTAGCTATGTTTTTAAACTAGGAATTATTTTGAATGAATAATAAAGCAATTAATGAATTCGGCTTTTGTAGGATATGAAGAATTAAACAGATCTCGGAGGATGTTATCCACCTCGGCCTTCGGCCTCCGTGGATAACACCCTCCTCGATCTGCTTAATTCCTCATATCCTACTCAGCCTCATAGATTAATTGGTAATTATTCCTCTTGCCCTCATGGCCTCTGAGTCAGGCCTCGTGGGCTATTGACTCAGAGCCCATTCGCGCTCGAGGAATAATAATTGTTAAATAAGCAAAAATACATCTGATTAATAGCTTTCAATAGATGGGAATGATCGAACTAGATGACTCCGATCGATCCAAAGACTAAAAAGTAGTTGGAAATATTGGCGTTACATTGGTGTGTCCCTTATTAAAATTCTGAGTGAATAATAGTTAAAGGAGTGAGATAAAAATTGCCTCCCACACTTACCTGAAGCATTGTTGACTGCCACATCGTAATACCTTCTCTTTAGAGCGTTGATACCGGCCTTACAAGATCTCACGGATCGAACCATGCCAGTGGCCACGCCCAATTTCAGATTCTCAATATACTGTGAAATAGTATCATTATGCTTTTTCAGAAGTTCTTCAATTGCTTCCATTTCAGCGAGGTTTTTTGGCTGAAACCTTAAAATCACTTTCTCTAAGTTTGTTAGAATGTCACATATCGGTTGCCAGCAGTATAAATTCGGCTCAAACATCCAGTCACCAGCGTAATAATCTCGTTGGTAAGGACCCCAGTCGAAAGAATTCCTCAACAAGAACTGCGCTAAATACATTCCCTTGTTTTCGCGCATAGTTAATAACGACCCATTCGCCTTCCCGAGTATTACCTCCAGCCTGTCGTAAAGCTTTCGGACCTGGTCGGTGAAGTTCTTGATGGCGTTCGGGTGAGGATCGTAAGGCCTGTAATGTTTACGAACTTCGTCTGTTGTGACATCGGTCTTAAAACCGATTTTTTCCGGCATCAACTCGTAGTATCTCCGTTCAAGCTCGTTAAGAAATGAGCCCAAGCCAATGCGTTTTGCTCCCTTTGAAAGGGAACAGCTGGATGACTGCTGGCCATTTGTCTCAACAGTACCTTTTGATTTGTTTACAGTCAACAAAATTATAAGAACAATAACTAATGCTAACAGAAGAATAATAACGGTCACAATGGCCAAAACAAGTCTGGGGTTAGCACACCAGGTTCCTGTTGTTGATTTTTCTTTGCCAAATTTTCCTGGCAAAAACGCTACCGTAGAATCACTCATCGGAAAACCAAGTCTACCATTTTCAGATGGTGAAGTGGATTTCGTTAGTTGTGACGTCATCTGAAACGATTGTGAAAAAAATATGTTAATAAAAAACAAACAAACAAACAAACTACAACAACAACAACAACAAAACCCGGGGGGTACTCCTTATAATGGCCTATACAGGGAGGCTCCGCCCGAAAGGGGTACCTTTTTCAGGCTTCCGGTATAAGAAACGGTAGGGTTTTTACTCGCTGAAGCATACGAAAGCTTGGGGAAATCTGTTATTTGGGTATGTGAAAGGGCCCAGGGGGCTAGCAGATGAGTTTTATAGCTTTATAAAGTCGAGAAAACGTTCTATTTTTGTGATTGATTGCTATTTAAACGACAGTGCATTTAGAGCAGTTAAAAGGGATGCAAAGTTCTAATCAAGGTATGTGACAGGGGTACCATTTGTCAATAGAAGGTAGATGAAATGGGTACCTTTTTCGCGAAAAATGGTATATAAAAGGGTAAGGGGTTGGACCTCGGGGCGGATCCTCCCAGTATAAAAATTTGTTGAGTACCCCCCGGGGCAACAAACTTATTACTGGGCTGCCTGTGGCACAGCACAACGTTTTACAATATGTACAAGAAAATAAATATATATATATATATATACAATAAATGCACAGAAATAATAATAGTAATAAGAATATAAAATTACAAATTAAAAGCTTTCTTAAAAAGATTAGTCTTCAACTGTACTTTAAAAGAGTCAATGTTCCTACAGTTTCTAAGCCTAGATGGCAAGCATTCCATACTGTTGGTCCAGCATGGAAAAAGGCTCGATCGCCAGAAGTCTTCCGTGTCACCTTAGGGATTACAAGCAATGTTTCAGAATCAGATCGCAGGCTGTATCTAGTTCTAGGCTTTACAACAAGTAGTTCAGATAAATATTGTGGGGCCAGGCCGTTCAACGTTTTAAAAACTAAAAGCGCAATCTTAAATTCTACTCTAAATTTCACTGGCAACCAATGAAGTTCCCTAAGTACCGGAGTAATATGGGTAAACTTAGGAATTAAGCATGTAACCCGAACCGCCGCATTAAGAACTTTTTGAAGTCGGTCATATTGATATTGTGGAAGTTTATACAAAAGAGCGTTGCAATAATATAAATGTGATGTAACAAACGCATGAATTAAACACTTTGTTGATTCTGCAGACAGATATTTCCTAATTTGCCTAATATTATAAAGCCCCCTAAATGCCTAATACTATATGAGTATTCATAGACATATGGTTATCAAACCATGTGCCAAGATTTCTAACATACACTTAAGGGGTTGAATGTCACAGTCACCAACTTTAATTGAAGCTATGGTAACCTTAGATAACTACTGGGACGAACCGATGATTAGTTTTAAGCAAAAATAGGGTTTATTTTACAACTTCAATCCTCACAGCACAATGACTCGCTCACACACTACACGAAATCGTGACTTTCTTGAATCTATAAGCTTTTAGTTTTTAATCCGATCTGTACGTCGGGGCAAGTTCTGTGTTGCTATTTGTTGTTAATTTAATTGAATACTTCAAATGTTTAACCCCGCAATCAGTAAAATCTGACAAACGAGGGAAACTATTAATAACAAAGTTTAAAATATAAAGGCATAAAATCACGCCATCTCACAACCACACTACACTCTTAAATTGTTTCATAATACCTGGTCGCAAAAATTAGTTTCCTAGAAACAGAAAAATATGCGCAATCCGTAAAAATAAATCCCGGCAAAAAATTCGCGCCACACGGTACACCCACCTAGCTTGTTTTGTATCGAGCATCAATTATAATTATCATGTATTTAATATAGCTTTAGTTCAAACAGTTTAATGAGACCCGTGGGTTTGGGTGGTGTCCGGCACGGGAATGCCGGCTTAGCAGGGTTACTTCTTCCTTTCATACACCGTCAGCTGTCTGTTGTGGTAAACTTCTCGTTTTCATACAATACATAATTTCTATCTAGTCTAGGTTTTATGGCAGCCCAGTATACACCTTCTGGTGTGCATTTCTAGTTAAATAAAAACCGAACCCCGAGTACGGATTGCCGTGGTCTTATCGACAGCGGTATCGTATCTTGGCCTGTTTTTGGATGGAAGGAGTCGCGTTAACATTTCGGGTCTCGGAATAATGGAAGGTGTTGATGATTTATGAGATGTGACCTTTCAGATAGTTCTTGTCGCTAAAAGCTCCCAAGACTTTCGAGGAACGGAGTCCGTGAATCAAGTCAGTCACTTCTCTCATATCCTGTGACGAAAAACTGCTTTTGATGACGATACGAAAAGGTTGAGTTAACGACTAGATCGTAAGTTATTTGCCCATTCTCTCAACCATTACGAAATTCAGTCCAAGTTTGGCTGCAGCACAAATTGAGCACATCAAGAAACCATATAATACTTCCAATGGATCTGGTAAGTTTAAACCCAAATTCCTGTGATAGGGCAGTGATCGAATCGAATTCAACAACAAAGCAAAATCTCAATTCATGTCGCGAATATCTGAAGGCAATTTACACTACTTTGAAAGTACCAACAAGAAATACTAAGCATAACACTCTGCGATTTCGTCCACGCACTAGAACCGGAAGTACGTATTATTTCAGTAGTCTAAAATTGATTCCGCGGAAAAGTACGGCTGGCGAATTTAGACTGATCATCTCAAGTACTCACCGTGCAGCACCGATATAAAAAAGCGAACAGTTGTAAATTGGACTTCAAAGACCCATAGAGTAGTGTAGGAGGTGTAATTGGAATCAAACAACAGTGTCGAATTTGTCGCATACTTCTTTCTGTGCGGTATACTCAAGTAGTTAACCCTCTTCTTTCAATGTCAAGTATGGAGATAATTCAAAGTTCTAACTATCGAGTCTTGTTCCAGCAAGGTTATCATACATGGAGTACTTTGCATGCTGCCATTTACTTTTAATACAATCAATTCCCGTTTTACATCGTAATTTTATAGGGAGTTATTATAACTCCAAAAATGGAGGAAAAATTTTAGGTACAGGATAACCTCTTTTTGGGGGTTACTTTAACTCCTAATTTAACTTCGAATTTGGGGTCAACTTTACTCCTGAAAAGGAGTTCTTTTTACTCACAGTCTGAAGTTAAAATACTGAACTCCGAAACGGGGTTATTTTTACTCCTTACACGGGTTTTTTCTACTCTTTTTAAAGTTAATTTAACTCTGAAAGTGGAGTAAAAATTTTAGGTACAGGATAACTCCTTTTTTAGGGGTTATTTTAACTCCTCGATATCTGGGGTCACTTTTACTCCTGAAAAAGAGTTCTTTAAACTCCTTTTCGGAGTTAAAATAACTCCACTGTAAGGAGTTAAATTAACCCCACTAGAGGAGTTATTATAACTCCATGAAAATTACTGTGTACGGACAGTGCCCCGCTTAATACGGAATACCTCGTTCTCCAAGGACAAAGCGCGCGAACTGTTCGTAATGAAGAAAGCCCTTACATTTCCTCTAAATTCAACCCGCTTAATACGGACACCCCGGCCCCGTACCGTTAATGCGGACACTATCTATGGACCCCTCAATGTCCGTATTAACGGGGTTTGACAAGGTTAAATAGTTGCGATAAGCATTAAAGTGAAAAAGCGACAAAAATCCACTTGTTATTCTTCTTTCAATGCCTCTTTTATACATTCTGTGGAACTCGAGGATCCTCAAGGGTTAAGAAATTCACTGCTATGACAGTCTTACTTTTTTCGTTTGAAAATTTGAGTGAAATAATGGTTCTGCACATCTATGAATTGTAATTTAGACTCTTTTAGAAGATCGTTAACTTTGTTAGTTGAAAAAGTATAATACTACGCACAAGCAATGAAAACAAAACTGAACTTACGTAACTGACTTGTGACCTTGGCAAGAACAACTTGGACGGTAAAAGCGAGCTATTGGCTATACAGTATTTCTGCAATGCCTTACGTTTTTCACTAAGATCTTGAGATAACGAATAGTCATGCCCACATTATCAGCAATCTTGGTAGCACGCCAAACTCAGCTATTGATTGCAACACGCAGCGACCCGGCTCTCAACAGTGACACGTTGAGAGTCTATATACGGACTCAAACGTCAACGTAACCTCAGTTACGCATGACAAAAAATACCACAGGAAAGTTGTTCTGCTCAGTAGCCTTAATCTGAATGGTAACACTTCAGAATGTCATCCACAAACAAAAAGATAGAACCACCTTGTACAGTGCTCAAATGAAAGCTACTGAGCAGTACTTTCCTGTGGTACTGTTTATCAATGATAAACATTACCACAGGAAAGTACTGCTCAGTGGCTTTCATTTGAATGGTCCTAACACCTTAGGATTTCATCCACAGATTAAAGACGTTAGAGCGCCTTTTACAGCATAATAAACAGTAAAACAGAAAAGTACTGCTCATTAGTTTTCATTTGAATAGTAACACTTTATGATTTCATCCATAGCAGAGCCGTAGCTAGCGGAGGGGTAAGGGGGGCAGCTGCCCCCCTTGGACCTGTTGGGATAGACACATCAAGTCTGTGGATGGATTTGTTTTCTTTAGACTCACTTATTTTGATTATAGTGGTCGACATATCTCATGACAAGTGCTGAAAATAGCGTTTCGAAGCCTCCATATTTAAAATTTTCTGGGGGAGGATACAACCAGACCCCACTACGAGGTTCGTACCTTCGGCACTCGCGGTAATGCCCCCTTCCCCCCCTCCCCCGCCCCCCGTTACAAAAAACGTAGCTACGGCCCTGCACAGATTAAAGAAATTAGAACCACCTTGTACAGCATCATAAACTGCACCACAAAAAAAACTGAGTCAACATTTTCAATAATGAGAGAGCCTTTCTTTTGACGCGTTGTTTGTTCTGTTAAGCTTGGTGAGGAATTTCCAGGGTCAAGGATATGCAGCAAGAAAGGACCCACGCTTTATCACGTACTCTTATTTACACACTAAATAAGCACATTTTTAAAAAACGTCATCGATTTTGAGAATTAAGAAAGATGATCATCGTTAATTGCTAGTTCAATATTTTTAACTTG